AAGCTATTTCCAAAACATATAAAACCCAGACACTACATGGCATTACGAATATGCTTAAGAAAGTAATTACCAGTGGATAAAGATATCTCATTTTAGTTGTATCTTTATTATGTGTAGAGTTATTATTTGTATTGAAGAAGAACGACTTGACGAAGGCTCGCATAAAAACAAATGGTCTGAATATGTTGAGGATCTATGGTCAGAAGAAAAACTAGAGCACCTGAGAGAAATGGCAACTGAAATTGATTACACTCAAGTTTATGATCCAGTCAAAGGTGCATATGGCTTTGATGATGAGGAAATCATAGCAGAAGAAAGCATTATGACTGAAGAAAATGATAGCATGCCTGAAGTGTCACAAGATTCTCCAAAGTTAAGCAGACCTGAGAATGTTAGTGAAGAAGCTCCACCTGCAGCTCAAACCAGTGATCATGACCTTAGTGCTGCAGCTGAAAAAGTTACTTCTACAGATGTATCGGACTATCTTCGCTCCCTGAAATTAAATCAATACATTGAGGAGTTTATGGAAATGGAAATTGATGGTATTGCTTTGTTTGATATTGATGATGAAACCTTGGAAACACTGGGTGTGGACACAAAGAAAGACAGGCTTAAAATAAAGACCCGGTTTAAGCAATGGTTAAGAAAAAAGCCTGTGTAGATCTAGTATACTGGTAATTTACATCCATAATTATTGTAGTTTGTAGTGACTTTGCTGATTTAAACTAGCTAGACTAATTAATACAATATTTTTATAGATTTGAGTGGAACTTTTTTGTGCTGAACTATTTAAAAATTGCAATGTTTAGTCAGATTTAATAGTAAATTTTATGATTTTAATAATTATTAGAATTTTTGCACAAATTTTATTATGCCAACAACTGATATGCATGAAAATGGAAGATGAAAAACCACTGACAACATTGCAGTAATAGAGAACTAATTCTTCTTTTTAGATTCATTTTCACTGAACTCTCTAGTGTCTTCAACTTCCCCTCCTTTAATAATCAGTTTTATCAAGAGCCTCACAATAAATGTAAACCAATACACCTATCATTCTGATAAAATACTTGCCAAACATAGACTCACTAACCTGCAACAAATAGAGAGTCATTAACATTATGTTAAATGACAAGTAGAAGGGTCCATTAGAATACACTTTCATAGAAACATAAGCAGAAGAGTACAAAACCTTAGTTAGATACCAGTACAGACGAAACAGGATCCTAAAGTGAACAGATATCTATTACACTTACAATGCTGAAACACACCACTGA